TCTGAGGCAGAGGAGGCCAGAGATCTTCACCTGATGTAAGGTGGAGGTCAGGTGGTGCAGCTGTTAGCCTTTAGCTGCTAGCCTTTAGCTGCTAGCCTTTAGCTAGCACTCAGAGTTGTTTCCACTCTGAGAAAGAAGCTGAAGATGAAAACATTTACTTCGTTTCTGTTTTGTGTTAATTTCCTCCTTCCTTCCTACTTTCTTTCCTTCAGGGAGGAAAACGAACAGATTTGATTTTTTCCTTTGGTGAAAATATTTCAACCAAAACTCTGTTTAGTTTAGTGATTTATATTTAACAGAATAAAACACTAACACTGAATCCTCTTAAGGAATAAAAGCACATTCTGTTGTGCTTTAATTCAGTGGAATCAGTTTAAAGCCAGCCGATGACGGAACAGTTAAATGAAAATGTGTTTTTTTGTTTGTTTCTGTCCAGCTGTGTCACATCGACTGCCAGGCTGAAGGCGGCATCCCGTCGTATTCCTTCGCCCTCATGGTCATCTTCTTCCTGCAGCAGAGGAGCGATCCTGTCCTCCCCGTCTACCTGGGATCCTGGGTGGGAGAATCACAAAAATACTGGATTTTATGCAACTTTACAGACAGAAAAAGGAATAATTTTTAAAGAATAATTTTCTCTAACAGATTAATTCAGCAAACCTGCAGAGTAAGTGTGGATTTTTCTGAGAAGCCTCTCTAACCTCTGATTCGTCTGTTCCAGATCGACGGCTTCGACGTGAAGCGAGTGGACGAGTATCATCTGACTGGAATAGTTCTGGACATGTTCGTGAAGTGGGAGCACCGACCTCCGACCTCCACGGAGGGACGAGGGGAGAACCGGAACGAATCCAAAGCAGAAGGAGGATCGAAACCGGAGCAGAAGAAGTCTGATGACGCTCGCCACACAGAGGGCCTGGTGAGTTTTCACTGCTGATAACATCTGTTACATCTTCAGCTGCTGTGGTTCTCTGACTCAAACCAACCTGTTCCCCTCCTGGCCTGTGGGGGCGCTGCACCAAGAACCACTGAAGGAAACAACACAAAAACCTCTGAAGACACTGAGAGCAACTTCCTTCTTCAGAAAATGTAAACAACGATGGAATAGTGTCAGATTTTAGCGATTATTTGTATTTGCCAAAGGATCACGGGTCATTTCTCCTGCTATCGCTAAGCTAGCATTCTTGTTTTGGTTGTATTTACCCAGAATGCCCTGCACTGTAGTCCACTTCCTGCTTTTGGAGCCGTCTCCAGTCCGCTTGGTGTTCACATACGCATTCAAACCGCACCAGTGTTCACTTCTGCCGAACCCAGACGGAGGTTTGCAGGCAGACCAGAGTTAGCTTCTCACGTCGATTAGCATTCACGCCTACACCAACGAACCGGACTCTCTAGACAAACGGACTGGAGTCTGATAAAACCGGCCTAACTAGTAACACGCTCCAAAGTCCATTTGATGCCGTTGTGGTAAGATTAAGGGGTTTAATTCATTTATTTCCCAGCCCTACCGCAGGGCATTCTGGGTAAAATCAACCAAAACAAACATGCTAGCCTAGCGTTAGAAAAATGAGTCGAAGTCTTTTACAGAAAAGAAATCCTCCAACCAATTTCATGAAGAAGGAAGTTGCTCTCAGTGTCTTCAGAAGTTTTTGTGCCATTTCCTTCAGTGGTTCTTGGTGCAGCGCCCCCACAGGCCAGGAGGGGAACAGGTCGCTCACAGGGTTTGGTTGGTTTGAAGTGGAAAATGTAAAAGATGTTTGGTCTCCAGTCGGACCGGTTCTTCTGACTGCGAGGTGTGAGCTCTCCCTCAGTCTGACTCTGGCTGCTTCCTCTCAGAGCCGCCTGATGCTGGCCGAAGGGAAAGGCGCGTCGCTGGGCCAGCTGTGGCTGGAGCTTCTCCGTTTCTACACGCTTGAGTTTCCTCTGGAGGAGAAGATCATCAGCATCCGCCTGAAGGAGCTGCTCTCCCGGGACGCCAAGAACTGGCCCCGCCGCCGGCTCGCCATCGAAGGTGAGAACGACCCAAGTCACAGAAGCGGCCGGGAAGAACCGCAGAAACTCACGTCTTGTTTTCTGGTTCCAGATCCGTTTGCCTTGAAGAGAAACGTTGCGCGGAGCCTGAACAGCCAAATGGTGTTCGAGTACATCCAGGAGCGTTTCCGCAGCGCCTACAAATACTTCGCCTGTCCTCAGAGGAGAGGCGCCAAGAAGACGGGAGACGGATGGAGACCGGAGGGACAGGAGGACAACGAGAAACCTGAGGGAAGTCAGAGAGAGGACGACAGCGGGGACGAAGAGGACGGCTCAGACCTGGAGAAGAGCCTGGATGATTTGGTTCTGAACGATGGCAGCAAACCGTCGTCGTCGCCCAAAGGGCTGCCGGACAGCGAGGAAGAGGAGGAGGAGGAGGGGCCTGCTGACCTGCACTACGTGTTCGATAAGATGATTTTCACTGGCGGGAAGGTAAATCACACATCGAAGAGCTGGACAAGATGGCTGAAAATCACCACATCAGATTTTTAAGATGATTTTCAGTCCCAGTTAGAAAACGTTCTGCTGTCAACATGACGACATTATCGCAATAATTTCTGGGACAAATTATCATCCAGCAAAGTTAATTATTACCAAACAACAATAAAGTCATAAAATTACCAGAATAAAGTCATTGAAAAAATAAAAAATAAAAATATTGATAAAAAAATAAAAAATATTGAGCATCTTGTGAAGTTATATGTCAGTATAAGTTTTACAGCTAATATTTAAATCTTTTAACACATAAGCATCAAATTATTATTATTATTATTATTATTATTATTATTATTATTGTTATTAGTAGCAGGACTTTGAAACAATCATGTAAACAACTGTTGTGAAGAATTAGCAAACTGAGCTAAACTTTTTAACTCATTCAAACTTTTTCTAATAATTTTTGACGATTTTTCTGGTAAAATGTTTTAGTTTTAAATATTATGACTACGTTCTCGTAAGTAAACAAAACTTCTCGTATCTTGATACTCCGTTGTACAACTAGCAGAAGGGATGATTTAAGTAAAAGCCACTTTTTAAAAATAATTTCTGTAATTTGTAATTTCTTTTTGATAAAAGAAAGCCAAAAATACATTTAATAAAATCAGATTTTATCACGGTACCTGAATTTTGTCCGGTTTTTTGCAGCCTCCGACCGTCGTCTGCAGCATCTGCAAGCGGGACGGCCACCTGAAGGACGAATGTCCCGAAGACTTCAAGAAGATCGAGCTGAAGCCGCTGCCTCCCATGAACGAGCGCTTCAGGAACATTCTGGACGGACTCTGCAGATTCTGCTTCTGTACGTACAGCTAACGCTGATGCTAACGCTAACAGCAGCGAAGCTAACATGATCCTGGCTGAATCGTTGCAGATAAACTGTCGCCGTCGCACATCGAGCAGCAGAACCGGGAGCAGATCCTGGCTGGACTGGAGCGGTTCATCAGGAAGGAGTACAACGGTGAGGAAACGGCCAAACCCACAGCTGCTGCTGGAGATTTAAAAAGTTAATAAGATCGATTAAAAAATGAAACAAATTTTAGCTAAATTAATAAAGTAAGTAAATGAAATAGAAATAAAATGCGTCCTTTTAGATCATTGACAACCACTTACACTGAAAAAACACAGAATCAAAGTGATTTTGGTCGAGTTTCTAATGTAAATATCTCAGTACATTTTAAATAACTAATGACTTTTCATTAAGATATGAAAGTTTGTTTTAAGGCATTTATTCCTTAATGTTGGTGATAAAGTTCTGGTTCTACTGAAAGATTATTTCACTGACATGAATTAAGAATAAAATTTTAATTTATTGACTCCTTCAGTCCCAAACTGACAGGATTATTATTATAGGAAATGTTATTTTACTATTAAAACTCTGAGTTTTTCCTCAAACTTGAACTTTTTCTTCCAGTTAACTTGTTTTTTGTCGTCTTTAGACGTAAATAAAACTATTTGTCTGATGCTTTCTGACGTCTTTCTGCTGCAGATAAAGCCCAGCTCTGCTTATTCGGCTCTTCCAAGAACGGGTTTGGTTTCCGTGACAGCGACCTCGACATCTGCATGACCCTGGAGGGTCACGAGACGGCGGAGGTGGGCGGGTTCAGAGCAGACGTCTGACGAAATGAGCCGACTGCGTGCCGTAACCCGGTTTTATCTTTCATTTCTGAACAGAAGCTGAACTGTAAGGAAATCATCGAAGGCCTCGCCAAGGTGCTGAAGAAGCATGCAGGTGAGTTCAGCTGATTGGTTGGTTGGCTTTTATTACGTTTTCCACTGATGTTGCCCCATATTTCCCTTGCTGCTCAGGTCTGAGGAACATCCTGCCCATCACCACAGCCAAAGTGCCTATCGTGAAGTTTGAACACAGACAGAGCGGTTTGGAGGGAGACATCAGCCTCTACAACACGCTGGTCAGTGGCGGACGACGTTTCCCAGCGTCCTTTGCAGGAACTTCCTTCCTTCCTCTCCAAACGTCTCCGTTCTGAACTCATTTGGACAAATTGTTTGTTTAGGCTCAACACAACACCAGGATGCTGGCGACGTACGCAGCGCTGGATCCCCGGGTTCAGTTCCTGGGATACACCATCAAGGTGTTCGCAAAGGTTTGTTAAGAAACGTTTAACCGTTTAAATCAAGTCAGAAACAACGATAACAGTTTATCTACTGAGCGTAAGATGACAGGGAAGAGTTTAGGAACTAAATAATGTCACATTTAATGCAACTTTGCTTTAATAGTTTCATTATTTAGTGAATATTTTTGCATTATTGGTAAATAATTATATTTTTAATGTAACGTTGCATCAAAAAAAAGTGAGTAAGAAACAATTTAAATCAGTTCAGGTGTTTATTGTGCATCAGATCAGCTGATACTGGACCTCAGGCGTCTGAATCGTAGATTTCTTTAGAAGTGGATCGGTGCGTCCTTATTGCCTGCAGACAGCTGCTCTTTCCCAGACGTTCCTCCGGTTTTTCTGCTAAACTTTAGTTATTGGACTCTGACCGTCTGTGTCTCCTCAGCGCTGCGACATCGGCGACGCCTCCAGAGGAAGCCTCTCATCTTACGCCTACATCCTGATGGTGCTCTACTTCCTGCAGCAGAGGCAGCCGCCAGTCATCCCCGTCCTGCAGGAGGTAAAGCCCTATGATCAGAGACCTTTGGTCTGAAATGTGAGCTAACCTTTGACCTTCCCTGCTCCAGATCTTCGACGGTCAGACGGTTCCCCAGCGGATGGTGGACGGCTGGAACGCTTTCTTCTGTGACGACCTGGACAAACTGGTGAGGATTCTCTGACATCCGGTCTGATGTAGGGCTGGACAATAAATCAGCAACAATATGTGTCATTCAGACACCTGATCAATATCTACAGACATCTGATAGAATATTCAGTAAGCTTCGATCCAGAACCGCACTGCATTCTGGGGGATGTAGGCAGAGGAAAGACTTTAGCTGGTCCACCTCTCACAGCGAGCGAAGCCGGGTTGGAGTCAGCTAACTCACTCACTCTTTGGATGCCTAGCAACGGCCTGCTGGGTAAAAAGCAGTTTGAAGTTCCCCTCCAGCTCTGGTTGCCTAGCAACGGCCTGCTGGGTAAAAAGCAGTTTGAAGTTCCCCTCCAGCTCCGGTTGCCTAGCAACGGCCTGCTGGGTAACTTGCGCAGCAGCAGTTTCAAGTTTCCTCACCGTCGCTTGTAACTGCTTAAAAATAAAAAAACTGCATAAAGTGAAAACTGGACAAAAGAGGAAAGACATGACACCAGTTTGGCTGCATTTCAGATATTTAAAACAAATAAACTCATCAATAATTATCTATTGGCTGGTGTGAAACGTTTACCTGGTGGCAGGTTTCTCAGCCTTGTTCTTGTTGCGCAGCGTCAGCGGCTGGCCGACCGGCAGCCCAACACCGAGTCGGTGGGGGAGCTGTGGCTCGGCCTGCTGCGCTTCTACACCGAAGAGTTCGACTTCAAGGAGCACGTCATCAGCATCCGGCAGCACAAACGCCTCACCACGTTTGAAAAACAGTGGACCAGCAAATGCATCGCCATCGAAGGTGATCGGGCGGCTTTGCATTCACCTGCTGCTAAACTCCGCCAGCGGTTTGTTTACCTTCCCATGTTTTCTGTTCCCAGATCCATTTGACTTGAATCATAATCTCGGTGCTGGAGTGTCGCGTAAAAGTAAGTCTGAAAAACAAAACTCACATTTATTAAATCTGCACTTCATCGGTGCAGATTTAATAAAGTCTCAGTATATCATCTGAGAGTTAAAATAAAACTAGATCTGAACCAGCAGATACAGTTTGATGAGTAAAAACTAAAGATTTATCTCACCGAATGAAGCAAATGTGTTAAATAAATCCAGTTCAGAGGAGCAACTTATTTTTCTTTTCACAGATTATCTCTTGTATCACGAAATGGGGCAAATATTTAAAAACATACTTTTATAAGAGTTATACTTTGCAGCTTTAATGTTTCCAGTCTGTTCTCACAGATTTTTAGCAACACATTTTTCTTTTTTTGACTGAATATTTGGTTCATATCTGACTAGTTTTTATGTATTATCTGTTTATATTTTCTGTTATATCATCTTTATTACAATGGAGGCAAGAGCCAAGTTTATCACCATGTACAAGACGATGCTGGAAAAGCTTTAAAGAGAAACTTCATGATGAAAAAAGTTATTTCAGTTTGATTCAGCATAGAATTGAATCATAAAGTTCAGTGTTTTATTCAGCGTTTCTGCATTTGGAGTTTGGTTTGATTTGTAAAAACAGATTTTATTTGTGCCTGTAGAATGGCAGTGGGCCGGGGACTGAGCCCTGAGGAACCCCACATCCATTTCCAAACAGTTCGATTTGCACTATTCAGATTTATCAGATGTTTTTTTATTAACATCAGTTCTGCACAGATTTATTACAGGAAATGTTTAGCATCTTCAGATTTTAAGCTGGATGGATTTTTTTCCACCCCTCAGTGACGAACTTCATCATGAAGGCGTTCATCAACGGGCGGAAGCTGTTTGGAACGCCGTTCATTCCCATCCCCGGCACCGAAGTGGTACGTTCCTCCACGCTTTCCCTCTCAGGCTTCCTGATGAGCCGGGGGTTAAATCTGCGCCGCCTTCCTCTGCAGGAATACTTCTTCGACTCGAAGGTGCTGACCGACGGCGAGCTGGCGCCCAACGACCGCTGCTGCCGGATCTGCGGGAAGATCGGACATTACATGAAGGACTGCCCGAAGAGACGCAGGTCGTCCTCTGACAGTTTGTCCTTTATGCTAAAGGCAGAAGGAGGAAGAACTTCATGCTTTAGCTGGTGTCCAAAGTGTGGTCCGGGGGCCATTTGTGGCCCTTGGTCTGATTTTTCTGCGGTCCGACTGCAATTCAAGAATGACGCAAATCTGATCCGTTCAGTGTTGGTGCTTGATGCAGATGCACTGCAAAAGCACAAAGTTTTACCAAGGATTCTTGGTCAGTTTCTAGTGCAAACATCTTATTACGATGGAAGTAATACAAAATTAATTTACAAGTAACATTTTAGGAGCTTGTTTTAAGTCAATAGTTCCTTTAATATTGATTTTAAAAAGTACCAGTTCCACTGGAAAATTATTTCACTTATAACTTGGGAAAAATATTATAAGTGAAATAATCTGAAGATGGATTTGGTATTTTTTCATCAAGATTAAAACAAACTTCTGTTTCTACCTGAAAAGTTACGTGCAAGTTAATTTTGTGCGATTGATTATTAGGACCAATTCTGGGTAGAAAATAAAACAAAGAAGAAATTTCTGCCAAAAAAATCTCAGAAAATTTTCTTGGAAATTTGTTAGATTGAAAAGTTGAAACTCAGGAAAATTTACAAAAGTCAAAAATGTTAAATTTTACAATTAAAAAAACTTTTTTTTTTCTCAAATTCCTGACATTTCAAACTCAGACGTTTTCTTTGTCTGCTTGTTTTTCTTTCTCTTTTTGACTTTAATGCACCAAAATCAGCTTTTTCTAATTTATTAAACTGCTTTTAAAGCAAACGCTTTGAAAGAAAGTGACCCAAACCCTGTTCTTATTCCGAGAATAAATTAGTTCAATGAACCAAAAGCAAAGTGAGAATTAAAAGTCTTTCTCGCAGTAAAACAGTCATTTGCCCCCATGATGAAAAGCTTTGGACCTTCACACGCTGCAGGTTTTTATTTGTTTTCTTGTTTTTTCCTTCAGGGTGAAGAAGAAGGAAAACGAGAAGGACGAGGACTCCAAGGAGGACGAGCGGGAGCCGAAGGACAGACGCTGCTTCCAGTGCGGGGACATGGGACACGTACGGCGGGACTGTCCCGAGAACCGCCACCTCAAACAGAGGAACGCCGCCGCCCCCAGTAAGCAGAGGGCCGTGCGTCAGTAAAAACACTCCCCAGGTCCAGCAGTTCCTTTCTGCTGCTTTGTTTAGGAGCTGTTTGTGAAAGCCAAAGGTCAAAAGGTCAACCAGGCCAATTTGGTGTCAACCAACTCACTTTAAAGATATTAATGAAAAATGGCTTCCAAATTCTTCCATCCTGGGTAAAAACAACCAAACTCACTGGTGGAAGAAGTAACTGATGGTTTTTAGCCAAAGACAAAAGCTAAAATCTGATGCCTCCATTTTAGTTTACATTTTCTGAAGAAGGAAGCTGCGCTCAGCGTCTTCAAGGGTTTTGGTGTCGTTTCCTTCAGTGGTTCTTGGTGCAGCGCCCCCACAGGCCAGGAGGGGAACAGGTTTTTGAGTGTGTTTGGTTGGTTTGACACAAGAGAACCACAGCAGCTGGAAACGTAACAAATGTTACAACTTTGGTCCAAAATCGAACTGAGTTTACCAAATTATCAGGTGGAAAAGCAATCTGTGACATAAGCAGAACATCTGGAAAAGTTCCTAACTGTTAGGTAAGGTGTGGTATCTGTGATGCTGTGGGCCTCTTTCTGTCCTCTGTGGTTTGATGAACTCTTCAGTGATTTTATCCTGCTGTGTCTGAAACCAACACTGACAGCTGTAATGGACCTGCAGGGTTTCTGCTTTTCGCTGCAGCTCCTCTGATGGTGCGCAGCGTGGCGAACTCCCAGTCCATCCCGATCCCTCCGGCGGCGGCCGACTCTCCAGGAAGAACCAGACAACCTTCTGAATGTGTGAGTTCAAACTGTTCGGTCCGTTTGCTTCACATCCTGAAAAATGCTTCAGCTTGAATTTGTTTTTCAAGGTTTGCAATAAAATGTAATCTAACGTTTAATTAAAAACCTAAATTTAGAAAATTAGACTGTTGATACTCAGAAAATTGTAACTTTTCTTAGCAAAATATTTGACTTTTCAAACTTAGAAATGCCTGTGTTTTTTTCCAAAATGTTTTTCTTGAGTTATATTGTCAGAAATCGGCACCGTTTTCCTTCCTGTCTCCACCGGCCCTATCGCTCCGTCACCTTGGTGTTTATGGTTGTTTTATCATTTGTGTATCACGGCTCTCTGTTTCGGTTCTTTCAGTCGGACAGTCGTCAGACTCCGCCCTACTCCCCGCAGCCCGCCGCCGTCCCCCACGGCTCCCCGCTGTCCTCCGGCTCCCCCCAGACGTCCCACAGTAAACCCGGCTGCGTCGGCCCCCCCCAGGTCCCGCTGTCCCTCTTCAGCTTCCCCTCCTCCCACCCGGGCCAGTTCCACCCCGCCGCGCTCGGCGCCCTGGGGCTGCTGCCCTCCCACCAGTCCCACATCGCCTCCTCCTCCTGGCCCATCCACGGCCCCGTCCTCGCCTCGTCCTCCGCCGGCGGCCCGTCGCCGCCCGGCCTGACCTTTGCCCTGCGCTCCGTGTCGGCGAACGGCAGCCCCACGGGAACGGGCGGCGGCGGCTCCGTGAACCTGAACGACCCGAGCATCATCTTCGCCCAGCCGGCAGCGGGGCGGCAGATGGGCATGGCGGCGGCGGGTCGGGACGGGCAGTGGCACAACCACATGGCGCAGCCGGGGTCCCTGATGGGAAACGGCACGGTGGTGAAGTCAGGTACTTCCTGTTTGATGACTCAGCAGCAGCTTCATGCTAATCTAACATCCATTATGCTAAC